GTCCTGCGGCGCAGGCCCCGGAGCGAGGGGCCCCTCCGCCGGCGCGCGGGCTCCCTGGCGTGTTCCGGAAGGGGGACTGCACTTCAGAGGGGAGTTTCTGCGCTTCGGTAACGAGACTTTTATGTATTCGGGGCAGGATATTTACCAAAGCTCCAGTGTGTAGGTGGCACGCAGTCACAGACCTTTTCCCTTCCCAGAAACTTAAGAAGTCAGCCTGGCTCCCTTCCACGGCGCTAGGACTGTGTTGGGGTCGCCGTGACTGCACCCGGCGCCGCCGTCTGCTCAGATGCCGGGGCTTGGATGAGATGATGGGTTGGGATGATTCTCAAGTTTGCCGGCCACAAACAATTCTGCAATAGCCCTTGACGGTATTTCCTCATTTTGAGCACATACTCTCTCCCCAGTTTTAACATTTCTGAAATCACGATGCGTTTTACCAGCTGCTGAGCATTAGCATATGTGGTCGGCTTGCTCACGCCAAAACACAGTTACGTGATTTTCTTTCAGTTGAGATACTCGAAATGAAATTTGAATCAGATTTCTAATTATTTTTTTAAAAATAATTTAAAGATAATCCTATGATATTGTATTAAAATTTAAAAAAATTAAAACCTGTAATTTCCACTCTGGGAGGCTGAAGCTGGAGGGTCGAAAGTTTGTGTTCAGCGTATGTAATCTAGTGAGACCTCGTCTCAAATTAAAAAAAAAAAAAATTAAAGGGTGGAGATGTAACTCAGTGCAGAGGCACTGGGTTCAATCTCCAGTACCATCAAAAATATATAAAAGGAAAAGGTTATAATAATGTTAAGAATTTGCAGCCGTTATAATAATGTTAAGAATTTCCAGCTCTCGGGAGACAGAGGCAGGAGGATCGCTGCAAGTTCGAGGCCGGCCTGAACTGCATAGTTGAAACCCTGTTTCAAAAAAAGACAAGAAAAGAAAAAAAAAAAAAGCTGTATCTTTAGCTTTGTCGCAATCAACGTTACAATCCTGTGAAGTACAGTTACTATCTCCATTTCGTAAATGAAGAAACTGAAGCTCAGAGAGAGAGTCTCAGAGCTTTCATGTATAAATGTCAGGGCTCCAACCATCTTATGTCAAAACCTGCTCTCTTAACTGCAGTCTGTATCCAGGCAGAAGATCCATGCGGCTACAAGGTGGGAAGACAAGACAGAGCCTGCACTTGTTGGTACATCTTGGATGTCTGTGTATCTTTGTCCATATATATACAGTTGGGAGTTAAGCTGTAACCAAGTACACCGATTATATGACGTGTGATCAAAATATACAGTGAATTTTTAAAAAACTTTATTACAGTAAAAGACACATTGCCTTTAATCCCCTTCAGAATATTCCTCTTCATTTCAAACACACTAACCTGTCATTCTTGCCATTTTCTGAAGCAGTTATGGAAGTCTTTTGGGGCTTTTATTTTTACAAGGTGTAATAAAAAATAGTGAATGCTGCTGCCAAGTGCCATTCGACAGAAAGGCAGGCATGGAAAAATGTTATTGTGCATCTCCATCTTCCTTATTCACGGATGTGGCACTGTGCAACTTCTGGCTCTTCTCCTAAAGTCAAAATTACCATAAAGGTAAATGTTTTGAATTGATTCAGGACATCGAGGCAGCCATGATAGCACAATAAAGACACTCATGAAAGAAGATTGTTTCAGAAAGTATTGAGAACAGTGGAATAAGTGTTTGAAGGAAGAGGGAATATTTTGGGGAGGACAAGTGGCAAAGTCTTTTCTTGTAATAAATTTTTAAAAGTTTAAATAGTAACCATATTTTTAGCTCATATTTTGTATTCCTGGACTGATGCTGTATCTTTGTTTTATATCTTTCGCAGGTTTTGGAGTTCTGGACATATGACAGGAACTTCTGGATCACTCTGTTCCTGCCTTTCGCTCCTCTGGAAGAGTATGGAGGCATGCACTTAAACCAACCCACCCCGCAAAGAAACAGCTTGAGGTTTGAGTTGCTGAAAGTCACACCAACCTCTAGCAGCCCCCTGGGTCTTGTGCTGCAGGGATATGCCAAATTCCTGAGGGCAGGCAGTTCTGACCTGAGAGGGACCATCCAACTGTGAAGCCTCTTATCAGAGGTTGCAACAATTTCCTCACCAGAAGTGGAAGAGCTTGGTCAGGCTGGCATCGTCATGCCACAGCAGCTCCTGATCTCCCTGCCCACTGAGGCCAGCACCTGGGTGAGGTTGCACCATCCAAGGAAGGACAAGAAGGGGGCGCCTTTGTGGGAGGATGTGACTAAAATGTTTGAAGGAAAAGGTGAGAATAGACTGATGGAGCGGGGAAGAAAGAGGTCTCAGAGTGGAAAGAACTTTGGCGGAGGTGGTCTCTTCTGAGAGGAAATTGGGGAAAGGTCTTTGGAGGATGTTATCTTCTTGTTACTGTGATAAAATTCCCGATGTAAACAGCTTAAATCAGGGAAGAGTTATTTTTGGTTCCTGTTTTCAAAGCTTTCAGTCCACAGTTGGCTGTCTCCATTGCTTTTAGCCTTGTCATCAGGCAGAACCATCATGGCAGGAGGTTATGGCAGATGAAGACTGCTTACCTCATGCAGCCAAGAAACAGAGAGAAGGAAAAGCCAAACAGGAAGGGGTTGGGGACCAGACATAGTTCCCAAGGTCACAACCCCATAACCTCCCTTCAATTAAGCCTCACCTCCTGTTTCTATCACCTCCCAATAATGCCTTCAAATTATGATCTCAGTGATGGGTAAATCCACTTGATGAAGTTCAGTAGTCCTCATGATCCAGTCACTGCCCCAAAAGCCTGTTACATGCCCATCAAGGCTCTAGCACATGAGTTTGGGGGAGCTTTTCAAATTTAAACCACACCAGAAGAGTTATGTTTGTGCCTTTTAGAAAAGGGAGTGCTTCGAAAGAAAATTCTAGGCTCATGTCCAGGATCGCACTTTATTTAATGGTCTGGTGAAGAGTAGATGCCTAATTTTTTTGTGTGTGTGTGTGTTTTGAGACAGGGTCTCGCTATACAGTTGAGGCTGGCCTTGAGCTCACTTTGGAGCCCAGGCTGGTCTCGAGCTCACAATGATCCTCCTGCCTCAGCCTCCCAAATGCTGGGATTACAGGCGTGCACCACCACGCCCAGCTTGAAGAGTAGATAGATGGACAAAGAAATGTATGTCTTATGTGGTATCATTTAATGCTTTGTATTCAGCCAGTATTTTTGTTTTTGTTCTAACAGTATCAGGCAGGGACTTTTAGGCAGGTATCTTGACAGATGGAAAAATGAATAATTTGCTCTAATGATGATTTATTAATTAGTCCATACAGTCAGGTTAAAATAATAAAAGGTAGCCTGAGAAAAGCGGTTTTGGAATACAGGAGACAGGAAACTTTCTTTTGATTGCATATATCTGAGAGATTTTTATAAGGCAGACAGCACTGAATCAGACCTGGAAGGGCTCTTTTCAGTTTTTTTAATAGAAGATTTAGAGGAAGGATGGAAAAATAGATACCCTGAGGAGTGGTTCAGAGAATGGAAAATATTTAGTCTAAGTAGGGGCTGGGAGTATGGTTTGGGTGGTGTCCCATGTATAAAGGAGTGTAAGAGCTGCTTTGGAGGTTCTAGCAGGGGAGTGTAGTCACGTATACACCCTTGACCTAGGAAACAGTCCTCTTCGATCAGGGAATGTTGTCCTTTTCGACTGAGCGTGCAGCTTCAGGAAGGACACATATGGAGTGGTGAGGGAGAAAGGAAGGGGGCACTTGCCTAGCCAGCCAGATCAGCCAAATCAATCCTAGTGATCAAAGGGGTGACAGATGTCTCAGACATGTCAACCTCATGTCTGAGGATGGTAGTTTGGAGATAACCATTACTGAGAAACTATGCTTCAGGCAGATCGTAGAATGCCTTGAAGTCCATGGTGAAGTTTTTAGACTATTCTTGTCAGTGGGGAGCCTTTGAGGACTTTTGAACAAATGGGTGGCTTAATAGATCTGGACCCACATTGACTATTGGGAAATGTTAATGCTCAAAGCAACACACTGCACGTCATCCTCCTTGAGGGAAAGCTTCAGGCTGCTCCTAAATGTCCTTTATTAGTCTTTTCTGGGAGAAGCCCTTTTCAGTGCATCTGCAGGCAGTTTTTATGTTTGAGGGATTTGAGGAGATGCAAGTCTCATGGTTCTTTTCCTTCTCCAGCTCTGCTATCTCAGGATACTGATGAGACCCAGGGAGAAAGTTTAGAAGAGGAAATGATTCCTGGACTCGTGACAACAGAATCCCAGGTAGGTTGGAGTTTTCTGTGCCTCTCTTGATACTGCTTCTTAGCTTTTAAGGATATAGTCTTGTCTTTTTGGGGGAGGTAGGGGTGAATCAAGACTAACAAAGTCAACCAAGGGAGCTCAATGCAAGTTGCTCCCCAGAAACCTGGGCTTCTGTGGTGGCAATTTCTCTGTTCATAGTAGCCTCCCTCCCTGTAACTCTTGTTTCTCTAGATCAGCTGCATCTAGATCTAATATTCTGTTAATTTTGGTAGAGAAAGTGTCTTGGTTACTTTTCTCTCGTTGCTGAGACAAAATACCTGGCACCAGAATTAAGGAAGGAAAAGTTTATTTAGCTCACAGTCTGTGAAGGTTTTAGTCCATACTTGGCTGGCTCCAAGGCAGGGTGGCACATGGCAGAGGGCAACCATTCACGGCAGCAGAAGATAGCAAAAGCAGCAAGAGCAAAAAGGGGAGGAGTGGCAGCAAGCAGCCACTTTCTCTTCCTTACATATGCAAACTACCTGCCCCAAGGCGGGTGTAGCACTCATGTCCTTGAATCAATCATAAACTCTAAAAGCCCACCCTATGACTGCATGAGGCTTTGAAGAGACATCCAGACACAAACCACAACAGAAAGCAAAGTGAGTGATACTCCAATCCCTAAAAAACTAATACATACCATTTTAGATCTAAGATAAACATTAGTCAAATCTCAAAATCAAAATATGTAAATGATGCCAGGCATGGTGACATGCCTGCAATCCCAGCCCTCTGGGAAGCTGAGGCAGGAGGACTGCAAGTTTGAGCCTGTCGTGGGCAACTTAGTGACTTAGTGAGTCCCTGCCTGAAAATAAAAACCAAAGAAAGGGCTGGGGTGTAGCTCAGTGCGAAGGCCCTGGGTTTCAATCTGTAGTACGAAAACAGACAAAGAACTACAAGTGAGAAGAAGGTTGTGACATTTTTAGTGATATACAGTGGACTATAAGAGGTACCCTTGGTTATAGCACTGAGAAGAAGCCAGAGGAGAATTACGCAGAATGAAGCTGGTGAGGCTATATATACTTCATACTCTTTCACTAGTCAAGGCAAGAGCAGGTGAGGCCTAAGCCCAGTCAGGACTGTCAGAAATTGGCCTTCACTGGCTGGCAGAAATGAGAGTGAAACAGAAGGAAATTAGAAAATAAGTGAGAAAGAAAGACCTTTTTAAAGAGATATTACAGACAGAAGAGTTTTAGGTGAAAACGGCTTGAAATGTGACATTAGTACATGCTTGATTTTATCTAAAATTAGATGGTACAAGACTGTCTTTGGTAATCTTCGGCAATATATTTAGCTCTTTACAGTCTTAATTATCTCAACTAAAAAGCTTAGATATTAATATCTGCCTTCTAGAGTTAATATCTGAACTACATGCCAGAGTTATTTATGGTAATTGGAAGAAATAGTCTACAGTAGTAGTCTAATTATTTAAGAGTTATCTCTTTTCCACACATTCAGAATCCCTTACTTCCTGACATTTATCAGATACTAGATTCTTAGCATTGGTAAAGGATTACATTTTTAAAAACTGAGGTACAACTGACATACAGGAAGTTACACTTAAGAAAGTATATAATTTTGACATATATATGTACCCTGTAAATAATCAGTAAGTAAAAACATTCCAGCCATCTGAGAATGTATGGGTGACCATACCCCTTTCAAATCAGTACTCCACCCCACCCACTAGAGTACTTGAAATCTCTGCATTTCTTACACTGCCTTTATTTCTATAAGTATCTTAAAAGAATTTTATTTATTTATTTATTTATTTTTGGTACCGGGAATCGAACTCAGGACCTTGTGCTTGCCAAGCAGGCGCTTGTGCCGCTGAGCTGTATCTCTGGCCCAAAAGAGTTTAATTTAAAAAGTATATATATTCTGTAGTAGTTAGGTGTAGTGTTCTATAAATGGCTATAAGTTAAATTCATTAATAGTGTTGTTCAAATCTCTAATACCCTTGATGAATTTTTATCTACAGGTTGTATCACTTACTGAGACAGGATGTTAAAACCTGTAATTATTGTGTTTTTTATCTATATATCCCTTCAGCCTCCCAAATACTGGGATTCCGTCATCAGACGTATGAACACTTACAACTGTTGTCTTCTCAAATTGACTTTATTATCATTATGAAATGTCTCTCTGATCTATGACCATACCACCCTTAATGTACCCAGTATCACTTGAAATGCCCCTTTTTATCTAATAATATGTTTTTTCCTGCAGTCCTCTTTGTCTGATTTAAGTTAGCTCCTCCAGTGTTCGATTATTATTTTCTTTTTCTTTTTTCCTCTTTTTGAAACAGGGTTTCACTGTGTAGTTCAGGCTAGCTTTGAACTCACTTTGTTTCTTTTGTTTTTTTTTTTGTTTTTTTCTCCGGTACCAGGAACCGAACTCACGACGTTGCGCTTGCCAGGCAGGCGCTTTGCCGCTGAGCTAAATCCCCAGCCCCTGAACTCACTTTGTATCCCAAGCTGACCTTGAACTCATGGTGATCCTCCTGCCTCAGCCTCCCAAATACTGGGATTACAGGTGTGAGCCACCATGCCTGGCTGATTATTATTTTCATTGTATTGCTTCTTCTATTTTTATTTTAGGCTGTTTTTATATTTAAAGTGTGAAAAATATCTGGCCTTACATGTAGCTAGGTCTTGCTTGTTTAGTGCATTTGTGGTTAATCATACATGAAATGATTACAATGTGTAATATATATATGTTATATATTATCTAAGTGTTGTTATTTGCTTTTTTTTTTAGTTTATTAGTACACGAGCACATAATGTTATAATGTTCATAACACATCTTTTTTTGGGGGTACATGTTTGCAGTACATAATGTTTACATTTCTTGTGTGGAGTTGGTACATGCACGTAACAAGGCCAACCCTTTTTTTTCTTTATTAATTTTATTGATACACTTTTGTCATACATAATGATCATATTAATCGTAGGGAGTTTGTACATGTAAATAATATATCTTAATTCTTTTTTCCTATTCCCTATCTTTCCCCTCAGTCCTTCCCCTTTTCCTTTACAAAACTTTGTTTCTATTGTTTCCCTTCCATTCATTTATTTTTTTAATCCTTACTTTCTCCCTTATTCCCCTTCTCATTTGAACATTTTCTTGCTACTTCTCAATATCTATCATCTATTTTGGTCTTATTTACCATTTGGGTTTCTCACATAAAAGAAACAATATGATATGTAAATGTGTGTCTGATTTATTTCACTTAAAATTATGTTCTCAAGGTGCATCATTTACCTAAATATGTCTCAAGTTTATCCTTCTTTACAGAAGGGTAGTACTCCATTGTATATAAAAATCATTTTCTTTATCCATTCATCCATTGGTGGGCATCTGGGCTGTTTCCAAGATTTATCTATTACAAACTGCTGCCATAAACATGGGTGTCCCTATACCACTGTGGTAGGATGATCTTTCAGGAAGATACCTAGCAGGGGACTATCTGGGTCAAATGGAACTTGTAGTTTTAGTTTTTTGACAAATCTCCATTCTGATTTCTCTATTGGTTGCAGCAATTTACAGTCCCACTAACAGTGGAGAAGGGTTCCTTTACTCCCACAGCCTTGCCAACATTTGTTTTGATTGATTTCTTGATGATAGCCATTCTTTCTGGAGTGAGATGGAATCTCAGTGTGGTTTTAATTTGCATTTCTCAAATGACCAGTGATATTGAACAGTTTTTCATATATTTGCTATTCGTACTTCATCTGAGAAGTGTCTTCATTTCTGATGCCCATTTTTGGATGAGGTTTTTAATTTTGGGGTGGTCCTGAGTTCTGGAGTTCTTTATATGTTTTAGATATTAGTCCTTTGTCTGAATAATAGCTGGCAAATTTTTTTCCTATTCTATGTGTTGTCTCTTCACTATGTTAGTAGTTTCTTTGCTGTGCAAAAGCTTTTTAATCTGATGTGATCCCAGTTGTTGATTCTTTGTAATATTTCCTGTTTTGTTCAAAAAGTCTTTGCCTATGCCTTTGTCTTCCTTACCTAGTGCAATAACAGATTGTGTTTTAATATTTATCTTTTAAAAATATATGTTTAGATCTTTGATCCATTTCAATTGGAGTTTAGTTCATAGTGATAGATATGGGTCTAGGTTTAACCTTCAACATGTGGAAAGTTAATTTTCCCAGTACCATTTATTAAAGAGTTTACCAAACATGGTGGCACACACCTGTAATCCCAACACTTGGGAGGCTGAGGCAGGAAAGTCGCAAGAGTTACAGGCCACCCTGAGCCATATAGTGAATTCAAGGCCACCCTGAACTACATAGTGAGACCTTGTCTTAAAAAAAGAAAAGGAAAAAAAAGAAAAAAGAAAAACTACCTTTTTTCAAGTGAAAGTATTTGGCCTTTTGTCAAAAATAAGGTAACTGAGTGTGTTTGGAGTTGTTTCTGCATCTTCTGTTCTGTTGATCATCAGGTCTGTTTTTCACTTGTCTATTTTTTGGCCTATACCATGCTGTTTTTATCATAATAGCTTTGTGATTTTGAAACTATAATTTCAAGTAGGAGATTATGATGTTCCCTGCCTTGCCTTTGTTGCCCAGAAATGATTTTGCTATTCTGGGTCTCTTCTGCTTCCAAATAAATTTTAGGATTGTTTTCTCTAGTCCTGTATGGGATGCTATTGGTATTTTGATTGGGATTGCATTAAATCTGTGTAACAGTTTTGGAAGTATGGACGTGTTCATTATATTGTTTCTGCCTATCCAAGAACAAGGATATCTTTCCATTTTCCTTTTTTTTTCTTTCTATTTTCTGATATCCTTCTCCTTTTTCAGAGTATTATAATTTTTAATGTAAAGGTCTTTTATTTCCTTCATTAGATTGATTCCTAAGTATTTCATTTCTCTTGATGCTGTTGTCAAAGGTGTAGTTTCCCTAATTTCTGTCGTAGTGAGTTTGTTATTTGTGTATAGGAATGCTATTGATTTTTGACTGTTGACTTTCTA